GCTCAGGTTATAACTATTTGTTTGATAAAGGTGTGGATGAAACGGTAGCTATGAACTGAAGCCATAAAAGTGGGTCAGATCACAGCCCTTTATAACAGTAAAGGAAAACAACAGGATTTTTTGTAAAAGTGCCAGAAGTTTGAGCTAGAAAATATGTTGATCTTGCACAATGCACTAAGACATTTTCTTAAGATTTATGCAGCTATTTATTTTGCCATGCTGTAGTATGGCTTTCCTTTCTAGGATGCCCGAGGACCTGTTTCTCACCATAAAGGGCCACATGCACCTGCCAGCTCTTCTTGATATGGGGGATGCTACAAGAAAAGATTGTAAGATGTTTTGGACTATAACATGCTCTGCCTCTCTTTCTTTGAACCCCCATGTAGGAGTCGCTGTTCTTCCTCATTGACCAAGGTGTTTGAAGTATGTCCTTGCTAAGAAAATGTAATGTAACGTCTTGTGTGAACCATTACAATGAAGGTCATTCAGCAGGTTGAGCTAGACCATCCTGAGGTGACACAGATAACAGTTAAGGTCCCATACTTTCCTGTTGAGTATAGGATACAAGCTATGCTCATGGAATAATTGAGATGCTGTTACTCAAGAAGTGTTTCTTGTGCTGTATGCTATCCTGGTCTGCCATCAGTTGCTGAGTGCGGTGTTCTTAAGGCTTTGGGTAGCATTACTGCCCATATCTGATACACGCTGATTTTGCCAATCCATGCAAAATCAGTTTCTAGGCAACATGACTGCCAGTATTTGTGATGGAGCATTACCCTATTTCTCATGCTATCAACTGTGGATAGCTATAGATCATTTGTGTTTTGTAAATTCTGTAAATAAGCTTCTAGTTGTCATGGTAATAAAGTATGTATCAGAGCTTTTTAACTGAGTTGCTTGTCAATTTGGATATTATCTTCTCCTTTTTCCATCGCCTTTGTTTGGTACATTCTGTATTACTTTTTTTTTTTTTTTTTAGAAAGAATCTGTTACTATATGTAAGATGTCTTTTTCCATTCCTATAAAAGAAAGTGCACTCCTACTTTATTGATCACATGCATTGTTTCTCACGTGATAGCAACAGGAGGTCAATTTTGTTGGGGGAAAACAAAAATACCTGTTTTTCAAGGAAGCTATACTGGGTGCACACAGGGGATGAGGAAATAGAAATTCATAATGTCATGGTTCATTGCAGCTAACTATATCTGTGTCTAAGAGAATTTTTCAAGAGTACGCCTGAGGAGTATTCTTCAATAAACAGTATTCATGTTTGTTTTGAAAAGGAACTTTAAAACTGACCGTATCTAAATCTCTATGAAAAGCTCTGTTTGAAAAACACTCGCTGTGCAGGTAAGTGTTATAATCTATTAGACATTACTTGTTCTTTGTAATGCAGGATTACAGCTGGACAGACATCCGATGTCCCTTTGAAAAGCGCAGGGATGCAGCTTGTGTCTTCTGGGACAACGTAGTTTATATTTTGGGTGGTTCCCAGCTCTTCCCTATAAAGCGAATGGACTGCTACAATGTGGTGAAGGATAGCTGGTATTCCAAGCTAGGACCTCCAACACCTCGAGATAGCCTTGCAGCCTGTGCTGCTGAGGGCAAAATTTATACATCTGGTGGTTCAGAAGTGGGTAAGACACTAAAAATCTTTAAAACAAACCAAAAAAAAGCACAAACAAAGATACCTGGAAATTTTTCTGTTTTTTGCATGACTGTTGAAAAGAAACTGCACGTTGCCATGTTAGTCTAATGAGATATTTTTCCATATTTAGGATTTTATACTCCCCACAATCCAACAATCTATTGCTGTTGTGTTTTTAAAATGGTTTCACTGATTGAAATGATTAATATTTACATTAATTAGAGCATAAAGTACACTGCAGCTCTTAAGAGTTAATTAGGGAACAAGCAAGTATGTTTTGGGAGTCCCACTCTGCTCTTGGCTTACTTCTATAAATCCACAGAACTCACTGTGGTTTAAAATTTTCTGTGATGTATGGCCAGAGTAGCTGCATTTTGACAATGGCATTCCTTGTATACAACATGTTTGGCCTAACGAGGTTTTTAAGGAAAAGAAGGGGTGGAAAAAAAGCTTTTGGAACTACTGCTTTTGGTGGTGAAATCATAGATGGCCCTGTAAAGGAATTTGTCCAATTTTTCTGTCATGTGACAGAAGTTATCTTCTGTTTGTTATTCTGTTGGTTTGCTTCAGTAGATAGAGAAATACTACTTTCTTTAGACGCTATTACTCATCATATTAAAAAAAAAACCCAAAAAAAAACCCAAAAACCATTTCTTCTGCCCAAGAAACCTAGTGGGTGACTCATGCTATGCATTATAGCAAATTTTAAAATTTAACTTTTATAAATCCGATACGTCATCAGCAAACCAAAAGTGGGAATGTAGGTATGCTATATCCATAAACCATAGAACTTTAAAAAAAAAAAAAGGCTGTGTTATGGGGTGTGGGGAAAAAACAAACAAACAAACAAAAAAAAAAACAAACAAAAACCCCCACCAAACTGTAGAGCCAGGGAAAAACTTTCTAGTAGATCCTTTTGAGTTCTGCCTTGCTGCAGAGGGCAAGCAGAGAAAAACAGGTCGTAATTGGTGCTTAACATTGATAAGTCACTTAACATTCCCTAAATGTCACAATTTCCCATTATCTGACCTCTAAAAATATTTTAAGAGGTCTAATGGAGCAGCAGATAAGACGGTTCCTAGCCGCCACCTAGTGTAGTAAATGTGAAATAGCACCTTTCCCATTGTTTGAAACAGGTTTAACTAAGGCTCCATTGGGAGATTTGCAACCCTACAAAATCTCGTAAATCTTCCAAGTTTCCCACGTGTCAGTACATGAGGGAGTATGATATAAACTTTGATTGTACAGTTGATTTTCTAATACCTTGAAATTAGTTAATTAAACTGTAATGGAAATTTTAATTTAGTAGTTTTCTTTTAAATCTACCCTCATGTTACTGCGCAGTTTCACTTAGCTTTCCATAAATACTCAAGACAGAATAGTAAAAGCTGAAAATTAATAACGAGTTTATTTTGCCTGTACTTTTTTCTTTGGAATCCAGTGAACACTGTTTGGAAAAGTCTGTCTATCTAGTATTTTCTTATTTGGAGCAGGCAATTATGGGAAACTATTAATTGCAGAAAATGCTGCCATGTGTTTAGCTGTAAAGAAACCTAAAAATTGCATGTTTTTTGCATTGATTGAAGAGTTTGGAAAACAAATTACTATGCCAGTCCATTACAGAAAACAGGGCTCGTTTTCCCCATTTGAATTGATGGGACTACTGTTTTATTTGCAATAGCTAGCAGAGTTGGAAAACTAAAGATACTAAATTCTTCCACTATATTTAGGTGCAGGAAAAATATTTAACTATACTGACAGCATACTCAGAATGGAAGCTTTCACCTTTAAAAAAGAAAAGGCATTAAAGACAGTTGTGCTGTATTTCCCATGGATGAGAATGCATACAATTTCAAAGCGATAAGGATGTGTATTTACATCAAGGAAAAAATATGTCCCGCTCTATACAGTTCTTCATAATATTGAGAATTACATGGTAGGGGTAAACAAATGCACGGTTTATAGAAGTCTGCTCCTGTATTTTGGGTCTGGAAACATAGTATTGTTTCAAGAGTTCAAATCCCCATCTGGTAGTGAGTGCTGTTAGTGAGGCACACTTAATTTTTAGAAGTAGAAAGCCAAGGAAAAAAAGGTACAAGAAAAGGCACCTTTGACTGTTTTAGGTGAATTTATCTGTTGAAACAAAGGGGAGAAGGATCCTGGTTCTTTTCTGAGACTGTTGTGTCCAGCCTTCTCTGCTTTGACTGTGGTTCAGCTAGTTATCTAAGCACAAGTCTTCAAGCTCCCATCTATCTTCATTAGAAAAATTGCTTTTGATTTCAGGCCCTTGAGGGAAGAGTACACAGACTTTGCACTTCCAGAAAATAAGTATCTGCCAGTCCCCAGGAAGAAAGTAAAATGGTGAGGGGTAGCTGTCTTGTGGTTGCTAATAATTCAGGAGTATGTTATGACGTAATCAAGCTATCTAATTCCAAAGGCAACAAGTATTCTGGGAACTGGGCAAGTCACGTTTGCCTAGAGAAAAAAGACTCATGAATCTGTACTAAGTTCACAAAGCTGGTTTCATCTTCACATCTAAAAGTTCAATATATTTCCAACTAGTGAGAGTAGCATGAGATGATGAGAATGATTTGTAATTTATATACATCTCTGTTCTGCCCTAAAAAAAAAAATAAATATCTTCATCACTTGTTTTTGTTTTTAGCCACAAACAGCAATTTTATAAACTTATTTGCATATTTTGGAACAAGAGAGTCAAAAGAGTTACAAGTATGTACTTTCTGAATAGCCCCAAATTTCAAGTTGGTTAGTTCTTTTGGAGATGGGAAAGCAGCTTTCCCTGTTCAACTATCAAGCAGAAATTTGATAATTACTGTTAGACTCTTCTCTTGAAAGACAACCATAAAAATTAATGCCACTTTGGTGGGTTTCTATTTTTTTTTTAAAGGAAATTCTGCACTATATTTATTTGAATGCTATGACACGAGAACAGAAAGCTGGCACACAAAGCCCAGCATGCTGACTCAGCGATGCAGCCATGGAATGGTAGAGGCGAATGGTCTCATTTATGTATGCGGAGGAAGCTTGGGAAACAATGTTTCTGGAAGAGTCCTAAATTCCTGTGAAGTTTATGATCCAGCTACTGAAACGTAAGCATTGTACCAATTCTGATTATTTTTGGTCGCTTGTGGCTTTGCTCATTCCGTAAATAGCTGAAGTATAGATGAATAGGAAAAATTGCACGTGGCAAGGAATTTTCCTGAGTTAAGCAGTAATAAATTCTTAGCTTTACTTAAAAGGCAGTTTTTCTGAAGCAGCTTTCTTCCATATTTGCGGACCTGCTTTGGCAGGGGGGTTGGACTAGGGGATCTCCAAAGGTCCCTTCCAACCCCTACCATTCTGCGATAGCTCATTTTCCTAATGCTAGGATTTATTTACATACTTTATACTTATTTTCTAGGAACTAAATAGTGAGTTTTCGTGTTTTGTTTGGTTTTCTTTTTCCCCAGGTGGACGGAGCTGTGTCCAATGATTGAAGCCAGGAAGAATCATGGGCTGGTGTTTGTAAAGGACAAAATATTTGCTGTGGGTGGACAAAATGGCTTAGGTACTTTAATTCTATTAATTCTCTAGCTGGTCACACAAGCTTTCACAGGGGCCTTTTTTCCTGTTGTTGTTGTCACATTGTTGTTGCCTTCCTTCTTTCACCTCCCTACTTCACTGTATCTTATTTTTCAAACTCTTTTATTAATGATAGTACTGTCAAATTCAGATATGTACCCATACTGTAGCCCAGTTCTGCAGTTGTTAATAAGGCTAAACCAGTCATCTGAGAAAAGATAATCCTTTTTTATTATTATTGGTTGTTCTTTATGTATTTTGAGAGACAGATAAAATAGTGGCTACACATGTAGGAACTTCAGTCTAAAGATTAAAGCTAGTCAGCTATTTTTAAGTGGTGGAAAAGTGAGAACTTTTTTTGACTGCCCTAGTTTTGAAATACGACTTAACTGTCATGGGCAGGTAATTTATGATCTGCCTATCTCCTCGTCTTTAAAACTAGAATAATAGTAGCTTATTTCCCAGGAGAATTGAATTTTAATTACACAGGGTTTCTTAAGTGCTTTTCAAAATGGAAAATTCTCAGCGATGAGGTTTATTAATCACTACTTATGGTAACTGGAATATTTGATTTCAGATTAACGCTGTTTTAGAATATAGCTTGTATTTTAATTAGTTACTAAAATTTTTCCAGCACAATTGATTTCTAATGCAAAAACATCAGTAGATGCATTTTTGCACAAACATTTTTATCAATCAGTTATAGCCAGAGCTGCCATTTTGCAAAATGTGTGTTCACTGAATGCTCCTTTTAGAAGTGTGTACTATTGAACCAATAACCTAAAGTATTATTTTGCTGTTCATATGCTGTAGCCCGACTGTTCTTTTTGTAATATAATTGGGAAAAGTTATGTCGGGTGAAATACTTGTGCCTCTTAACATTATACAAAGGTTTCTTAATCTCTCAGATCTATTAATTCAGAACTGGAAGTTCTGACTCGTATTACAATTGTTAAATATGGATAACAGCATGTTTGTAGATATTGTGAAGTGTAATTACTAGCCTATTTCCTAAAGAAGCAAATCTTAGTCACAAAAACTACTTTTCTCTAATAACTTTTGATTCCCTTGGCCATTTTCAAAGGGACTTAGACTTTTAAACTTCAATGATTTTAATACTATAACAGAGATACATCCTTTATCAGTACATGACCAAGTTAGGTAAAGGTACTGGTGACCCCTCTAGAATAAAATGCCCTCACTACAGGGAAGTTTCAGGTGGATTCCTGTGTTTTAGTCACTAGCCACAAATCCACAGGAAATTTGGCATTGTTCTTCTGTTCATGAAGTAACATGTTAGAATCTCTAGAAAGTGTGTAATGTGAAATTTGTTACATCTCACTTTCAGTCTCCTTTACTTTTCTCTGTTTCTGTATTTATAAAAGGGTAAACTGCTAGTTTAGAAATCTGAGGCCTTTTTTCAAGTGTTTTTTTACTCTAGGATTTATGTTTTAATCTAAACCTTGAAAATAAAGACGAAGTTTAATGAAGCGTTTGTATGCTTCATTACATGCTAGTTCAGTTCGTATGGTATAATGTAATAAGCAGTTATCTATTTCATTGCTTTGTAGGTGGCCTTGATAATGTAGAATATTACGATATCAAGATGAATGAATGGAAGATGGTGTCTCCAATGCCATGGAAAGGTGTAACAGTGAAGTGTGCTGCTGTGGGATCTATAGTCTATGTCCTGGCTGGTTTTCAGGGTGTTGGTCGATTAGGGCACATTCTCGAATACAATACTGAAACAGACAAGTGGATAGCCAACTCCAAAGTCCGTGCTTTCCCAGTGACGAGTTGTTTAATCTGTGTTGTAGACACTTGTGGGGCAAATGAAGAAACTTTAGAGACCTGAAGACCTGTAGGAGATGCTGAGACATTCTTCAAGGACTTGGGGAAAGATGGCTATTGGTGCTTTGCTTCCATGTTTTACTGAATTGTTAAAATGAGTAATAGGAAAAACTGAGATGCAGTCTTTCAATTTGTATATACAGCATATTGTACAACATGGATTTTGTCATGCCCATTTTCTTGTCTGTTTTAAGAGATGGGGATGTGTTTTGAGAATCCACTTACCTAGCTGAGATCATATGGCATCTTCCTTTAAAAGGACTCTGTGTGTGGCCTTGTCAAAAATAGACCCAATCCAATCATTTAAAAGAACTCAGCATTTGATGAAGATAAGATTTCTGGTTATTGTGGTTTACCCCCAGCCAGCAACTCAGACTGTGCAGGTGTTTGCTCGCGCTGCCCCCCTCCCCCCCCTTGCCCCCCAAGTAGGGTAGGAGAAGAGGGAGAAAAAGGAAAAAAAAAAAAAAAAAAC